CCGTAGATGTGCGTCTAGGATCTTCTCGGCATGCGCGCAAAATGTTCCGATCCATATTTCTGGAAGTGGTTCGGGGTCTTCCTGGAGATTGGCGATGAACAACGCCATTCTAAATTGTTAAATTTAGTTGAGAAAGCTGATTGAAACCTCACATCATCTCGATTTTTCTTCAGAATACGGTAAATTTGGCTGGAAGAACAACTAAACTGAGTTGCAAGTATCTTCGGATGCGCGCCGAGTTCATGACCACGCACAATGCTTTTTCGCTCGTCCACAGAGAAGGATTTTTTCCCGAATGGTCTAACCATATCTGAAAAACAATAAAACAATAACTAAAACGAATTCCAATTAGTTGTCTTTCAACTTTATTTAAAAAAAACCAAAAATCATGAAAAATATGCAAAATGAAAAAAAATGAAAACAATTGAAAAAAAATTTTGTTTGCAAGATGATGCAATTTCCAAGTACGCAAGTTTTCGTAACTTTCCAATGTGTCTACAGTAAAAAATTCGAGTTGAAAAGTTGAGTTTTCAAAAAGTTATCGTCAAAAAACAAGTTGTCGCATTCTTTATAGCCAGTACTGTATCTGTTTAACTGGATAACGATCTAAACAGCGATCCGTGCGATGCGAAACTGAACAGATATGGAAAAGGTAAACTCAAAAAAGTTAATTAACGATTTCTACTTTTTCTGATTTCAGTGAAATGATCACCAGACAAAACCAATTGATCGCCGGATATCTACGCCCATTTTCCATTTTTCAATAATTCCATAACTCAATTCATCTTCTTACCTCATTCCACCCTTGCACCATGCAACTTCTGAAAATCAAGCTCACGAAATCAAATTTTATTTTATTAAACCTAATTTTTACAATATTTGTCTTTCAAAACCAACATCACTACTTTTTAAATTCATCATTTTATTTTCAGCTGATGTCCTAGAGACCAAAAGTTAGTTTTTTTTTAATTTTCACTCCTTCTCAGAAACTCTCTAGGTCACGTTTCCCTTTTATTTTTTGACTTTTCAGGTAATTTTTATTGTTTTTTGAATGTTTT